CCCATGGCAGATGTTGACTAAGTGATCCTCAAGGTCCCTCCCAACCCATCCCATGATTCCATGAACTAACAAACAAACTGAAGGAAGTTACTTGTGCTGTGATTATAACACCCAACACAACATGGAAACTGATGATCTCAGAGGTTTCCTCCAACCTTGATGATTCCCTGATTCCCACTGAGCAATGAGTTGGTTTTCCCTAAACTTCTTGGTGTGAACTCCTACTCTTCTATTCCTAGGGCTTGTTCCTGGGCTCCTGAACCTGGGCAACACGTGCTTCATGAACTCCCTGCTGCAAGGCCTGTCCTCCTGCCCTTCCTTCATCCAGTGGCTGGAGGAGTTCACAGCACAGTACAAGGTGGAGCAGGACCAGCCCCAGGAGCACCAGTACCTGTCAGTCACTTTGCTGCAGCTCCTCAGAGGTAGTTCAACACCTTCCCCTGGCAGAGAGCTCAGAATACAATACTGGGCACAACTGTTAACCATTTTGAGCCTCTTTTCCCAAAGGAAGAAGCTTGTGGGGTTTGTGTTCTCTGTGTAATTTCTCTGTGTCAATCTATTTAATCTCTAATTTCTATTCAATCTCTACTTAATTTCTGTTTCAGAATACTAATTCCTGCTTAATTTTCCCTAACTCTGAGTTCAACCACCTTTCACAGAGCTGTAAAACTCTATAGAAAAGAAAAAATCCATTAGCAAATAATTTAAGCATTTTTTGCCCCCAGTTTTACTATTTCCCCCCAAATGTTTACTACTTTGGATGACTTGGGATAAGAATATTCCTCTAAGCCCAATGTGGTGACTCAGTTCAGACTTGTCCCTGTGCTAAATTCGTCTCAGTGAAACGTTTTGAGGCTCTAAGTGACCAATTGGCCCTCCCTGAGGGAACTCACAGGGGTTTGTTCACAAGGAAGTCCCTTGGAATTTGTGCCTTGGGATGTTCCTAGTGAAGTGGTGCCATGGAACATGTCACTGAACTAGTGGGGAGTCAACACTTGGGGGTTCTGACCTCTAAACCACCAATTTTTACCCATTGCACCAGTAAAAGTTGATGTTTTTCAGTATTTATGTTGTTTCTCCTTTGTGGATTTGCGGAGGAGCTTTGGGATGTGTGTTAGGAGAGGAGAACATGAGCAGTGAGTGAGCTGAGGGTGGTCATTAATACAAAGCACCTTGATTATCAGTAGCTCTGCTGGGGTCAGTTCTGTGATGCTGAGATAACTTACAGACTGAAACAAACAGATCTGTGGCTCCTCCTGACGTTTCTCACTGCTTTGTCTCCAGCTCTGTCCTGCCAGGAGGTGACAGAAGATGATGTCCTGGATGCCAGTTGCCTGCTGGAAGTGCTGAGGATGTACAGGTGGCAGATCTCATCCTTTGAGGAGCAGGTGATTGCAGAGAACAGGAAAAAAACTGCCCCATGGACCTCAAGGGCTTGGGAGAAAACAGAGAACTGAGGTTCTGACCCCAAAACTGCCCCAAGGACCTCAGTGTTTAAGGGGTAACAGCACTGAAGTTGTGGTGGTCACAGCCCTGAGGAGCAAATCTGAATCCTGCTTTAAAAAGTGATGGAAAACCACCCTGTGTTGGCTGCATGGTGTTTGCAGTTTGCTGGGATATTCCTCAGGGACTCCCTGGCTGCTTCCACACCTCCTAATGAGCCTCAGGTTTGGAACAGCAGAGCCAGGAATGTTAAACCAGACCTGACAGAGCCCTAGTTTTGCTCTGGATGGTGAAGCTGTGCTCTGTTTCCAGGGATGGACTCCAAGCATTTCCCAATTACTCACATGGAATAGCCAAGATTTCCAATCTTGCCAGTGTTTCTTGGCAGCACTTCCAATGAACTGCAGTTGTCTCACTGCTAAAAT